ACCAGGAAGAAGAGGAGGAGGGACGAGTTGGGCAGGACTGGCCACACCACCCAAAGGCCCAGGAGCAAGATGTGGGGCTGGGAAATAGACTGTTTGGGGAAATATATTTTTTTTCCACTCTTGGAAACATCCTTTTGAGGCTGGATCACGGCACAGAGTCTCGTCAGCAGCCATTCCTTGGAGAATTTCACCCACCCTTCCCAAATCAGCCACGGAGCCGCTTGGCAAAGGGCTTTATTGGGCAAAGCCAACCCGAGCAGGAGGTCAGACAAATCCCACCCCAACCCATCCTCGCGGAACGGGGCTCGCTGGGTCTCCCTCAACGCCCTGTTCGCCCTCTTGCAGGAAACTCCCAACCCAGCGGATTTTACAGCTTAGCCCCGTCAACACCAGGCATGCAGCAAAACCTTTTGGGGTCCAGGCAGGGAGCGGGGGAGCCCAGCCAGATCTGCCTGCACCCCTCCACCGCAGCGCTCACGAAATAGAGCAGCAAGGAGGGCTCAACCCTTCTGCACCGTGGGGTCCGGGCGCCCCATCTCCCTCACCCCCAGTACCGGAGTTTGGCTCCACCGTCCTTGGAGCGGTCGTCGGGCTTTGGCGGTGCCACGGCGAGGAGGTTTTCCGGCTCCAGGGCGAACATGCTGTAAAGGTTCCAGAGCAGCATGGCCAGGAGCGGGAGGAAGGTCATGCTGAAGCCAAAGGAGCGGAACGAGCGGCCGATGGCGTAGGACAGCCAATACATCAACCTGGAAGGGACGGAAAGGTGTGAGCTCAGCGAGGGCGATGCCTCGGGGCTGGCACCCAGTTTTACTCGGAGGTTGGGACCTCAGCGAGGGTTCGGCCGCTGCAGGATGAGGGCTGGAGCAAATCTTCATATCGGCTTTCCTGGCTGTTGTTAGCTCCGAGCGAGACTTTGCACCAAGACACGGGGTTTGCCAGCACTGCCAGAGCCTGGTTGTACCCCGGGGTGCAAAACGGAGGGTAAAGGGGCCACTTACCGGGAGATGGCAAAAAGCCCCGTGAGCAGGGGGATGAGTTTGAGGCCCTCCTGGGGGAGGTAGGTGGCCAGCACAGCCATGTTGAAGAAATAGAGGATGAAGAGGTGGACGGACTGAGAGACGTAGGTGCGGTGGATCTCCACCTCCCGCTGCAGCTCCCCGAAGGGCTCCAGCGCCGAGTTGCAGAGGCGGGAGATGCCACTGACGATCATCCCTGGGGGGTAAGAGAGAGGAGCTGAGCAGCTACGAGTGTTTGGGCCTGAGGACTGGAGGAGGACCCGAGACGGGTGACAGGGTGGGAAGAGGGTAGGAAAACGCCGTCTGCTGCTCCTGGTGGGAGCAAC